TTGGAGAATTGGATACTTTTTTCATCATCAGAATCACCCCTCAGCTTCGATACTTACCTCTCTGTTACAGAATCAAGCTTAATTTACACTTTTCTTAAGAGTAGTTAATTCCCAAGAGACCCTTTAGTTGTTCATAAATATAAGTTGTTTCTGGCAAGACAACTGTCTACCTATTTACCTCTGATACTTATTTGGGCCCAAAGGTTTGTATATATGACAGTCAGAAGCCTGAACAACCTATAACACTGTGTCTGAAGAAAAGAGTCACACTGATGTGCAGGTTGTGTTGCATTTTAAAACTGATATTGTATTATGGGGGTATTGGTATTATATTATGGTATTGAATTATATGTGCAAAACTATGAAATGACCCAAAAGGGTGACTGAGTACAGCATCTAACTCAACTTTCCAGGCTGTTTCACCCTGTTGTTATACTTGAGTTGTTTTACAATCATGTGAATTATAGAAAGCTTATGGTAATAAAAATATTTTTATATATTAAAATGAAAACTGTTTCTGATGGAATGCAATTGATTATTGTCCTATGTATATTGACCTATTTAACATCTGTTTTAAGTTCTCTGCAGTATTCTTTTTTTTTATTATTTAATGAGCATAAATTTCCAAAGTACAGCTTATGGATTACAATAGCTTCCTCCCCCCCATAACTTCCCTCCCACCCACAACGCTCCCCTCTCCCACTCCCTCTCCCCTTCCCTTCACATCAAGATTAATTTTCAATTATCTTTATATACAGAAGATCAATTTAGCTTATATTAAGTAAAGATTTCCACATTTTGCTCCCACACAGAAACACAAAGTGTAAAATACTATTTGAGTACTAGTTATAGCAATAATTAAACACCTAAGAGTAATTGTGTATTAATTACAGAGTTCAACCAATAGTTTTAAGTAGAATATAAAATGCAACTTTTGTATTGTTGTGGCTCCCCCCCACAACCTCCCTCCCTCCCGTGGCCCTCCCCTCTCCCACTCCCTCTCCTATCCCGCCCTTCATCACGTTTCATTTTCAATTACCTTCATATACTGAAGATCAACTTAGTATATACTAAGCAGGGATTTCAACAGGCTTTACTCACACAACCGCACAAGGTATAGGGTATTATTTGACTAGTAGTGTTGTTTTTAAGTTTCATAGTAAAACACATTAAGGACAGAGATCCTACATGGGGAGCATGAACCCAGTGACTCCCGTTGTTGATTTAACAATTGGCACTCTTATTTATGATGTCAGCAATCACCCGAAACTCCTGCTATGAGCTGTCTAGGCTATGGAAGCCCCTTGAGTTCACCAACTCTGAATTTGTTTAGTCAAGGCCATATCACAGTGGAGGTTCCTTCTTCCCTTCAGAGAAAGACGCCTCTCTCCTTGATGGCCTGATCCTTCTGCTGGGGTCTTGTTCACCAGGATCTTTCATTTAGATTGTTTTTTGCCACCATGTCATGGCTTTCCATGCCTGTGAGACTCTCATGGACCTTTTAGTCAGATCTGAATGTCCCAAGGGTTGATTCTGAGGCAGGAGTGCTGTTTTGGGCGTTTGCCATTCTATGAGTCTGCTGTGTGTCCTGCTTCCCCCCGCAGGATCATTCTCTCCCTTTTGATTCTATCCTTTATTATTTGCTTACACTGGTCTTATTTGTGTAATCTCTTTGACACTTACCCTATCTTTTTGATCGGTTGTGTATTTATACTTATCACTTTACCAAGTGTGCTGGCATTGGTACCTGCCTCCTTGGTAAGGTTGAGTTGAAATCCCCTGGCACATTTCTAGTTCCACCATTGGAGGTAGGTCTGAGTGAGTATGTGCCTTCCTATATATCTCCTCCCTCTCTTATTCCCACTCCTATGTTTCACAGAGATCAATTTTCTGTTAATTTTTAAACGCTTAAGAATGGTTGTGCATTGATTGCAGAGTTCAACCAGTGGTCTTGTGTAGAGCAAACCGAGCAACAACAACAACAACAACAAAAATACTGAAGGAACAAAATAGTAAGTTGTTCCTCAACAGTCTAGACAAGGGCTGCTCATGTCATTGTCTCTCATAATGTCCATTTCACTTCAATGGGTATCATTTTAGGTGCTCGTTTAGTTGCCATCGATCAGGGAAAACATGTGATATTTGTCCCTTTTGGACTGGCTTATTTCACTCAGCCTGATGTTTTCCAGCTTCCTCCATTTTGTTGTAAATGCCCGGATTTCATTGTTTTTTACTGCTGTATAGTATTCCATAGAGTACATATCCCATAGTTTCTTTATCCAGTCATCCGTTGATGGACATTTAGGTTGATTCCTTGTCTTAGCTATTGTGAATTGAGCTGCAACAAATATTGAGGTGCAAATGGCTTTTTTCTCCCCTTTAATTCCATTTGGGTATATTCCAAGGAGTGGGATGGCTGGGTCCTGTGGTAGTGCTATATTCAGGTTTCTGAGGATTCTCCAGACTGTCTTCCATAGTGGCTTTACCAGTTCTATGCAGTATTCTTGATGTTTGTGTATTTTTTCTTTGGATTTATCTTTGCATCAGTGGTAACATCTTACAGATTTCCTTTCCAATGTGTTAATTAAAATCTATGTCCCATGTTCAAAAATGTCTCATGTTATAAGCATATATATATGCTTAAATATCCATATAACATTTCTTTTTTTAAAAAGACCTATTTATTTAAAAGACAGTTACAGAAAGAGATAGAGACAGAGAGATAGAGAGGTCTTCCATCTGCTGTTTCACTCCCCAAATGGCCATAACAGCCAGAGCTTAGCCTATCCTAAGCTGGGAGCCAGGATCTTTAGGAGCTAGATCAGAAGTGGAGCAACCGGGACTCAAACCAGTACCCATATAGGATGCTGGCACTGCAGGCTGGGGCTTTAACCCACTGCACCACAGCACAGGCCCCTACATATAACATTTCTAGGAAAATTCACAATAAATTGATAGCTGTGACTGCCTCTACAGAACAGAAGGCAGCAAAGTTTGCTTTTCATGGAATGCCCTTTTGGGTCTTTTACATGTGCTTGTGTTACCTAAACAGTTAACTTTTTAAAAATCTGTTCTGATAGTATTAACTAGAACAAAAAAAAATACTAAAAAGGATAAAGTATTAAATTGTACATCAACAGTAAGGACAAGGGCTGATTAAGTCACTGTTTTTCATAGTGTCCCTTTCACTTCAACTAGTTAATACTGTTGGTTGAACTCTGTAATTAACACACAACTATTCTTAGGTGTTTAAATTTAACTGAAAAGTGATCCCTGTTAAATATAAGAGTGGGAATAAGAGAGGGAAGAGATGTACAATTTGGGACATGCTCAATCGAACTTGCCCCAAATGGCGGAGTTAGACATGTGCCAGGGGATTCCAATACAATCCCATCAAGGTTGCATGTACCATTGCCATCTCACTTGTCCAGGTGATCAATTTCAGTTCACAATTGATCATAATGATAGGTCTGAGTCAAAGGGATCACATAAACAAGACCAGTGGCTGCTAATACTGATAGAATAAAAAAAGGGAGAGAATGATCTAAAATGGGAAGTGGGATATACAGCAGACTCATAGAATGGCAGATGTCCTGAACAGCACTCTGGCCTTAGAATCAGCCCTTAAGGCATTCGGATCTGGCTGAAGAGGCCATGAGAGTATTTCAGGCATGGAAAGCCAAGACACTCTGGGGAAAAAAAAAACAAACAAACAAACAAAAAAAAAAAACACACAAACAAACAAACAAACAAAAAACCAAAAAAACCTAAATGAAAGATCTCTGTGAGTGAGATCCCAGTGGAAGAAACGGGCCATCAAAGAAGGAGGTACCTTTCTCTGAAGGGAGGAGAGAACTTCCACTTTGACTATGACCTTGTCTAAATAAGATCGAAGTTGGCGAACTCAAAAGGCTTCCATAGCCTTAGCAACTCATGACTGGAGCCTAGGGAGATTACTGATGCCATAAACAAGAGTGTCAAATTGTTAAGTCAACAACAGGAGTCACTGTGTACCTACTTCTCATGTGGGATCTCTGTCCTTAATATGTTGTCTAATGTGAATTAATGCTATAACTAGTACTGAAACAGTATTTTACACTTTATGTTCTGTGTGGGTACAAACTGATGAAATCTACTTAATATATACTAAATCTTCAGTATATAAAGATAATTGAAAATGAATCTTGATGTGAATGGAATGGGAGAGGGAGCGGGAGATGGGAGGGATGCAGGTGGGAGGGAAATTATGGGGGGTGGGGAAAGCCATTGTAATCCATAAACTGTACTTTGGAAATTTATGTTTACTAAATAAAAGTTTTTAAAAAAAGAGAGAAAAAAAGTTAAAGAGAAAAAAAATCTGTTCTGAATTCTCTAAATTCAGTCTTTAGTGATCTCTTACCTGTTGAATTCACATCTGCTAAAATCATCAGTAGAGAGTTTTCTATCTAAATAAGCTAATAGATGAGTAAGTTACTCAACATCCTACAACAAGTCTTACTTCAGTAATCTTTAAAACAAAATTTTAAATTTTATTTTTGAGGTAGTCCTAACACTAGAAGAATTCTGGTCAGATGGTGTTAATGCTATTACTAATCTGTTAAGGAATCATATAGTCCTAGTGTGGAGTTAAGTGGCAGACATTTTAGCCTGTTTTAATTAAATATCCTGGAACCTCATTGCTCTAACTCTTGTTAACAATATTCTTTACTAAGAGATCTTTGATAGAGTCAAGTTTATAAAGGGAAAAGGTAAAAAACACATTTGTCAATTTATTTTGGAATTGTAAGGCAAGGAAATAGCCTATTTCATGCTATCTTCTACCCTGAATGTTATCTTCTAGTGGGAAGTCCTGATTAATGACCTGCTTGTTTTTCACATTTTAAACTTTTTAATTTTTGTTGCTTCTGTCTTTTTTTAAGCATGAAAATTGGTATCATAAACTCTACTCTGGTAGTCTACCTTCATGTACTCATTATATATCCCCCATCCCTTTTGTATAGGAAGACAGAGATGTCAATAACCCCGTGCCTAACCGAGGAGGCAATGGATTAGCTCCTGGGGATGACAGATTCAAACCTGTGGTACCATGGCCTCATGTTGAAGGAGTAGAAGTGGACTTAGAGTCTATTAGAAGAAAAAACAAGGCTAAGAATGAACAAGAGCATCATGCTGGAGGAGACTCCCAGAAAGACATAATACAGAGGCAGTATCTCACATTTAAGCCTCAGACATTCACCTACCGTGATCCTGTGCTGCGCCCAGGGATCCTCGGTAACTTTGAACCCAAAGAACCTGAGCCTCATGGAGTGGTTGGTGGCCCTGGAGAAAAAGCCAAGCCATTGGTTTTGGGACCAGAATACAAACAAGCAGTTCAAGCCAGTATTAAAGAGTTTGGATTTAACATGGTGGCAAGTGACATGATCTCTCTGGACCGCAGCGTCAATGACTTACGTCAAGAAGAGTAAGCACATATCCTCTTCTTTCTAAAATTGGGGGAACTACTGTTTGGTGGACATTTAGAATTAGTTAGAGTGTTACATAGAATTAGTTAGATCGTTAGAGTGTTAGAATGGAGAAAATATTTATGGTTTTATTAAGGATCTTTGGCCTGCAAAATGACCAGAAAAAGGAAACCTCTCCTTGTATGCCATCATATTAAAGGCAAGATGTAGAAAATTCTGGGGTCTTCTGTGTCAGTGCTACTCAAAATGTGGTTTCCAGACTGGCATCAATTTATGAATTTTTGTTACAAGTCCACAGTGAGAAAATAAGTTCACACTGGAATGTCAGTCAACCACACTTTATGTTAAATGCTTCATTTAGTTCAACTGACAGTTTTTTAGTAGTAAAGGTGTCTTGATATTGTTGATTTCCATTCTGGAGCATGTTCCTAACTTTGTTGGAGAACAATAGCAGACAGTAACATTATACTGGGTATCTCATATAATTTGCTAGATTTCCTTTACTTTTTTTCCTCAACATTGAAACTAGAAATTGAAACACTTGAGAATGTGAAAAAGGAACATGCAGACATAATAAAAATGTGGCCTAAACTTTCATATTCTTTTCAGATAGTATGATTTTAAAATGAAAGATTTCCAGCTCTTGACTTCTGATAGACAGTAATTATTGAAGGAGCTTAAAGCTTTTCTCTTCCAGCTTATTCAATAACTGTTCTATTACTTTAGGATCTAAACAGCTTTTATTAATGTGAGTACTAATTCACTGCCATTGGAAAACTCTCAGAATTCATTCCTGGTGATATATTATTGGCATAATCTTCATTTTAAAAGATTGACACAGCAGGTGCATGCCTTCCCACATCCACTCATAAGCACACATATATACACATACACTATCATTCTTTATGTCCACTAAGTAAAATTCTGTGTCTTTATCATGCTACTCTATAAAAATTAAGCATTCATGCATTTATTGGTAGGATTGAGAGGGAATAAATGAAATATGCAAAAAAAGTAGAAATGTATGTAGCATTGTGGTGGTCAGAGACATACTCTCTTATTCAGAGAAGAATTTGAGTATCCCAAGGCGTCTGAAGGAAGAATCTTGAGCAGTTTATCCCTAGTAAAGTGGAGACATGCCTAGACATAGAGTTGCCAGATTTAGCAAATAGAAATACAAGAAAGGGCAGGTGTAGTGGTGAGGCAGATTAGGCCATTGCCTGCAACACTGACATCCCCATATGGGTACCTGTTCGAGCCCCAGCTGCTCCATTTCTAATCCAGCTCCTTGCTAATATGCCTGGGAAAGCAGCAGAAGATGGCCCAATTACTTGGGCCCCTGCTACCCATGTTGGAGAACCAGATGACGCTCTTGGTGTCAGCCTGGCCTAACCCCAACATTTGAGGCCATTTGGGAAGAGAACCAGTAGATGTAAGATCTTTCTGTCTTTCCTTCTTTCTCTGTAACTCTGTCTTTCAAATAAATAAATAAATATTTTTTTAAATACAAGAAATTCAGTTAAATTTGCATTTCAAAAAAAACAGTGGAATAAACTGATTCCAAATATGGCAAAGAACATATTAAAAATTGTGTTAGCTTCCTTAAATCCAAATTTAACTAAATGTCCTTTAAGTTATCTGATAACTCTTCTGGTCAAGAGGGTAGTTGTTAGCGGGTAGAACCCTTTAGGACCCATACCAGGACCTGTATTCATTCATCTAGAGTAGGTGCCAATTGTGTTAAATATAGCCTTGGTCATGCTGCTCACCTCCATTGCAGAGCTACTGTGATACTTTGATGGGTGGCATCCTCATCACTGCAACAGGGATATAGTGGGGAGAAGGATTCTACTTACTGACCTTCTAACATGAAAGGACTTACTGAAACTTAGGCAGGCAGCTCTCACAACTTGGCCATTTAAAGTCTGAGGTTCACAGCTGTGATTTCTTTGTAATTACCCAGCAAAATTGTAAAATTCCTATTAACCCCTACGTGGTTTGCTGTGAAGAGCCTTCTCTTTACACCATAATTAAAGTATGTCTCTTTCTGGATGGTGTTCTTCAGTGCTGTTGCTACAGTCAGAGGGTAAGCCTAGCAATGTGTGAATGGAGATTTTAGCACATGAACTACTTATTTAAAAAAAAAAATCAAATAAAACACCAAAATATAAATTGCTAACTTTTCTATGTAAAAAATATGCTTTAAAAATCAAATTACATACAAAATTTAGAGCAGTATGCTGAGTCATCCTCTGTGCCTCCCGTTCCTTCCCCTCTCACATGGAAGTTCTCAGCAAGGCCTCTTGTTTCTACTATCACAATATCACTCAGACTATTTCTGAGTCTATTTCTTTCATCTCCACTTCCACCACTGGAGTCCTAGTAATCATGATCTTTCCTGGAATCCCTGCAAAAGCCTCCTTACTGGTCTTTTCATTTCTGTTCTTTCTCCTGATTGCTTATTATCCACATAGATAAACCCAAACGTAACCTATACAAAACCATTCTGTTTCTTTCCACTGCTCTTAAAAGAAAGCACAAATTCCAGATCTGCAGCAGCCCCTGTGCTGTGACCCTGCAAGGCAAGATGTGTCTTGCAGGTCTTCTCTTGAGGCTGCTTCTGGTCCGCCTTCCTCTAATTGTTTAGCCTTTCTTGAGTCCTTTGGGTGTGCTCATCCCTCTTCTGTGGTGCTTTTTCTTCCCTCCTGTGGCTGGCTCCTTCCCATCCTTTAGGGCCCAATGGAACTTCTGTAACCATGTTGTCTAATTGGATAACACCTCTTTATTCTCCATCACTGCTCTCTGGCCACTTCATTCATAGTATTTATTAAATTTTATTATTAGATACTGGTTTATTTGGCTGTGTATTGGTATCTTTATCACTGGATGATAACTCCTAAGAGCAAGGACTATGTCTATTTTCTCCCTCAGGTACTCCTAGTAACTAACACCTAGGATCTCAGTAGTTCCAACTTGGTGAACGTCTGCTGAGAGAAAGAATGAATCAATGAATATAGTCTCTCAGGTTCAAACCTTGGCTCCTTTACCAAATATGAGATCTTTGACCCTCAGTTTCCTGTAATCTTTAGAATGGGTCTAATAGACCAGTCTGTCAAGAGTAGACCAAAAGTCTTATTACAGGCCTGTTGGTTACAGACTTAAGTATTATTAACTGCTTTAACTGCTGTGGTACTTTCTTCAATACTCTCATGTTCAACCTTTGACTGCTTTCAGTTGCCATTTAACTTTGATATTGTCTGTTGCTTTTTAGAACCCATAAATGTCACATACTGCCTTTATATCATCTTGCTTCCACTTGTACCTTCTGTGATGGCAGGCCTTCCTCTGCTTTTTTTGAAAATTTTAGGCACACCGGGAGCCATCTCAACCTCCCGTCTTTCTGAGTCCTCCTTGCCAGCCTCCAGTTTTCTTCCTTTCTATCTGTCTCTCCTCCTGTATCTCCCTCTCACTTCCTTCATTTTATTTGCCTTTCCTTTCCTCTCCTCTTCCTCTTCCTCTTCCTTTCTTTGTCTTTTTTTTAATCTTCCTTTCTTCTATCAAGCTGTGCATAGGCAATTGTTTTCCATGTTCTTTTCTCTTACAACTGGAACAGTACCTAGAAATAGGATGTGGCATATTTTTGCGTATATCATTCCTGTAAATATTATGTTTCCAATCAAACAACTGTCCCAAGACAAATGTGGCAATATGTTTAAATAAGTTTAATATGTCAAAATACTCTAGTAACACTCAGAAACTTTGATTAACTAAATTCAAATTATTTTTTTAAACTGGATTCTTTTTCACACTTAAAAATGAAATAGGATCCATTTATTTTTGGACACTTAAAATTCAATGTAGAGTGTAAAACAATAATTTTTAAGTACAGTTTTTCATAAGTTAGAATGTGGACAGTCCTTAGAATTTCCTCTAAAATAAAAAAAAATACCCCTACCTAACATTTTGGATATTGTGTAATATGCAGATTAGCACTTTTCTCCTTTCACTGGCAACATACTGAAAACAAACCATACATCCATATCAAACACAAACACACTCCCTCGCCTTCGTCCCACGTGGGAAATGTGCTGGTGGTGTTGGCTTTCTGCAGCTTTAGACTGTAGGTCTTAACAACCTTGTTCTTTTGCCTCTATCAGTCATACAAATGAGCCACCTGCAAAGCTAAAAATAAACCACGCTTTGGGCTGTTCATCAAACCGTACATCTGACATTGTGGTTAACTTGTTCGTTCTTGTGGCTGTTCCGTAGTCCTTTCAGATGAATGTTCTGTACTCTGGAAGCAGGAGAGGACTGCCCAGCTGCAGCATGAGTCATACTTATGTATATGATGGCTTTTATTACATTCACTAGCTGAGTAATTTACTGGCTGTTGATTGCTTGTTAAAAGGGTGAGCAATAGTATTTTGAGTGAACTGGAGACCTACTTCTTTTTTAAAGACTTGAGCCAAAAATGACTTCACCTGCCTTCACACTTATTTTCTATTTTAAAAAGTGTATGATTTCTATCACAGTTATACAGATATTAATTTAGTATTTCTAGTGTGCAGGGCACTATGATAGACTGCCAAGGGGTGATTCAATGAGAAAATGTAGTCTCTACCTTTGAGGAGCTCACCATCTACTGGTAAGGAGAAAGGAATGAACACTGCAATATAAGGTGGAATGTAAGAGCCACAGGAAAGGTATGAGAAAAATTATGTGATTCAGAGGATGTAAAGGCCACATCAAGTTACAGAAGAATCGGAAAGGGATTCATGGAGTGTGTGCTAGGGAAAGGCACTGAAGGATGGACAGGGGCCCCTAGGAAGAGGGCACAGAATAGAAGAGACATTGGCGAGAGTTATTTATATAGGTCAAAAAGTGTATGTAGAGAGACAAAGCTGTAGACAAGCAGGACATTGGAAGATCAATACCCATCACAATGTCTGTACTGAATTTGGCAGCCAGAGAAGACCTGTTGAAGGGTTATAAAGAGAAC